AAAGTGGAAGTGTTCTCTTTTTTAGTGTGTTCTAAGGAACGGGAAGTTAGTGATCTACAGGTTCTACCTATATATGTAGCATCACAATCAGAGCACTGTAATTTATAAACACCACTACGATCCATGTAGTTGATGGGATCTTTTGTATTGGTTAAACGTTGTCCTAGATTGTTCGGGACTTTGAAAGAAATGTGGGTATTCTCAACAGATCTTTTTAGGATGTATATAGATACATATATATTAGATAAATGTTTGTTTCTTCTGTACACATTTAATCAGAGAGTTATTTATTGATATTTTATTACTATTATTATATATTTAAACCTTAGTGATTCGTCATCTTCATCCCACAGTGGATATAAACGAAATCAAAAAAGAACTAGAGAGCCAAGGACATATCGTTCTACAAATAACGAATATACTTCAAAGAACTACAAAAAAACCCCTACCGCTATTTTTTGTGGACTTGAAAATGCAAGAAAATAATAAAGAAATTTATCAGATAGAATATTTACTCAACGCAAAAATTGATGTCGAAGCCCCAAGACTAAAAAGAGAATTAGTACAATGTACCAGATGTCAAAGATATGGTCACACAAAAAATTTCTGCTATCATCAATACAGGTGTGTAAAATGTGCTCTAAATCACAAAACAGCTGACTGCCCTAAGAAAATTCGATCTGATCTTGTAAAGTGTGTACTTTGCGGTAAAAACCGTCCAGCGAATTATAGAGGATGCAATGTACATAAACAACTGCAAGACCAAGATTTCCAACCTTAAGAAAGAAAGAGTCACAGAATCAACTACAAAACCAACAGCTACCAGTGGCTACAACAAATATAAGTACAACACAAAGACCTACATATGCTTAAATGATAAATACCAACCAACAAGATACTACAATGGTCACTCAGGCAAACGACATGCAGGAGTTAAAGAATATGATGAAAGGGCTTATGGAACAAATGAGCACCATGCTAAACTTACTAACAACACTTGTCTCAAAAATGAACTAATGGCTAATACACTAAAATTTACCATATGGAATGCTAATGGCTTGACACAACACAAACACGAGTTGTATGCATTTATAGTTAATCATCAATTAGACATAATACTGATTTCAGAAACACACTTCACGAAAAAAAGTTTCATAAAATTTCACAACTACAAAATATATCACACAACACATCCAGATGGAACTGCACATGGTGGGACAGCAATCATTATAAGAAACAACATCAAACATTACCAGACAACTCACTATCAAAAAGCACATATTCAGGCCACAAATGTAGTTGTAGAAGACTGGACAGGACCTATAACTTTTTCAGCTGTATATTGTCCACCAAAACATTCAATTAAACAACCAGAATTTAAAACCTTTTTTGATACACTTGGACCTAGGTTTATTTGTGGCGGAGACTACAATTCAAAGTATTTATTGTGGGGCTCTAGACTTATTAATACCAAAGGCCGGGAACTACAAAAAGAAATACACATGGATAATCTAAACATAGTAACCACAAGGGAACCAACATACTGGCCTACAGACCCTGCAAAAATTCCAGATCTTCACGACTTTGCTATAGTGAGAGGAATAAATGAAAAATACTTTAAACCAAAGTCCTGTTACGATTTATCCTCTGACCATTCACCTGTTATCATAACTGTAAGCAAAAACATAACAAAAATAGAAAGGAGCTGTATACTACACAACAACAAAACAAATTGGAGTTATTTTCGATATCAAGTAGACAATCAAATCAATTTAGACATCCCACTAAAGACAGATAAACAAATCGAACACGCAGTAGAACATTTTAACACAGTTTTACAGGAAGCAGCATGGAACTCCACACCATTACCTACACATCGACATATGAACAAAAACTGTTCCAATACAATACATGGAAAAATAATTGAGAAAAGAAGACTCAGAAAACAATGGCAATTAACAAGATCACCTCAAAGTAAAACAAACCTTAATAAAGCACAAAAAGACCTAAAAAAATTGATAATGGCAGAAAAAAATGCAAGTTTTCAAGAATACCTACAAAAACTAGATGCAACTCAAGCCACTGACTACTCGTTATGGAAGGCTACAAGGACTCTACGAAGGCAGAACTATACAGTCCCACCAGTAAGAACACAAACAGGACAATGGGCGAGAAGTCCACTAGAAAAAGCCGAAACATTTGCGACACACCTTAAAAAAGTCTTTACACCAAATGAGGGAAATTACTCACTACAAACTGAAGAAGAAATTATTTCGATACTCACAAAACCTTATCAACTAGAACTTCCCGAAAAAAGATTCACAAAAAATGAGGTAAAAAATATACAACACAACATCGATCCAAAAAAGGCTCCAGGATACGACCTGATTACGGGAAAAACTCTTCAGCAACTCCCAGAGAAAGGCTTCCAATTTCTGACACAGTTATTCAACTCTATAATGAGATTAGGCCACTTCCCATCACAATGGAAACTAGCACAAATAACAATGATACTAAAACCAGGAAAAGAACCAGAAAGTGTACAGTCCTACCGTCCTATCAGTCTTCTTCCAGTGGTATCCAAAGTTTTTGAAAAGCTGACACTTACTAAGCTAATGCCTATACTAGAAAACAAAAAACTAATACCACCACACCAATTTGGGTTTATAAAACAGCATTCAACGATACAACAGGTACACAGAATTGTAGAGAGAATCAACGAGGACTTTGAAAATAATAGGTACTGCTCGGCGGTATTTCTGGACGTAAGTCAGGCATTTGATAAAGTCTGGCATAAAGGCTTATTATGTAAACTAAAACAAAATTTACCTACAAATTACTATATACTCTTAAAGTCCTATATCACCAACAGAAACTTCCAGGTAAAATATGAGAATGAATACACAAACATACAACAAATTCTCGCTGGGGTGCCCCAAGGAAGTGTACTAAGACCTATATTATACCTTATATTTACTGCTGACCTACCGACAAAAACACACATAACTACAGCTACATTTGCGGATGATACGGCAATAATATCGTCGAACAAAAATCCCAAAATAGCCTCAGAAATCTTACAAAATAATCTAAATCAAATCCAACAATGGATGACAAAATGGAGAGTCAAAATTAATGAAAACAAATCGCTACACCTAACATTTACCACGCGTAGGGAAACATGTCCGGCTGTTTACTTAAACGGTACAGGAATTCCATAAGGGGATGAAGTCAAATACCTAGGTATGTATTTGGACAGAAGATTAAACTGGAGGAAGCATATATTTACTAAGCGAAAACAACTGGGTCATAAGTTAAGAACCATATATTGGCTGTTGGGCAAAAAATCAAAACTATCAACCGAAAATAAAATATTAATCTACAAATCCATCCTAAAACCAGTGTGGACTTATGGGATAGAATTATGGGGAACCGCCGCACATTCCAACATTGAAATAATACAAAGATTCCAGTCCAAAACATTGAGATCAATACTAGGAGTTCCATGGTTCATAACCAATGAAGCCATTCATCGGGATGCCGGACTATCATATGTCAAAGATGACATCAAAAAGTGCGCGAAAAAACATAAAGAGAAACTTAAAGTGCACCCAAACGTGTTAGCAAAAAGTTTAGTGAATAAACCGCGTACTGTTCGTAGGCTAAAACGAAAAGTTCCGTTAGAGTTAAGTGAACAATAGGTTCTAAATTAATGTGTACAAGTCTATGTCAGAAATAGTCAGTGTTGTAGGCTAAGTTTTTAAAAAAAGGGGTGCATCACTGGATGCCTCCCTACATGTCATTTCAAATTATTGTCAGTCCTATTACTTATTGTCTATTATCTACCTAAATATTTAGGTTTAGATTGTACAGATAGATGTAATAAATGTGGGGTTAATAAAAAAAAAAAAAAACCTTTGGAATATTTAAACCTTTTGGCTCTATTCCGTCATGATAGTGTCCTTATTACTTGTTAAGACATTTAATTGAAAGCCGAAATACCGAGTTACATCTCTAGTAGGCAAGTAAATTACCTTTTTAGGTGTAATCATTAATTTATTCCTATATTTTATTATTTGTAAATTAGGAATATCAAGGATCAGTTGTGTGTAACCAGGACATTTATATTCTTTTGTATACAAGTAACTAGATTAATTGTACATTATTGGTGGTGGATATTTTGAGGTAAATTTAGACTGTATATATTTGGATAGGGATTACATTTTTGGTGAAAACTAAATATTTCAATTAATACCTGTTTCCCTTTTTATTTCAGGAAACAGCTTTACAAGATACCTTGGAAAGTTTATGTTATTACTTTCCTGGCGCCCACTCAGATTTTGGAGCAACTTCTATAATCACTTTTATTTACATTATTTATATACTTATAGAATGTTTACTACTCTGTCATTCATTTTCTTATTCTACGGTCTCTGTAGGCCAGGCAATTTGGCCGAATCCCCTTTTGAGTGTCAAGTAGTCACTCTTCGGCACCTTCTGCTAGCCAGCTTTAAATTATATGTTATCTTTTACATTACCCCAAATACCTGTGTTACATTACACATACACACTTTTATTATATTGGCGTCCTAAACCTCGAAGTCCACACATCTTTTGTTACAAAATTTATTTTAGCACAACTTAAATTAAAGCTTTATTTATAGACTTTTATAATATTGTGCTCATTCTACCCTAAAATATTCATTTGATACAACAAACAAAATAACCAAAAAAGGCATTGCCCTACTTTCGCTGTGCTGTTATTAAAAACTCACCCATTAACGAACGTATTTTCCTACAGCTTGGTTAGAATTTACGTCAATCTTACTAAACTAGTTTTAAGATCGAAGGACTACTGAGTTGAGATAATTCATAATTTTTTTCTTATTTATCATAAATTGCAATGGACATATTATGTTATGAAAAAAAACTATAGTTTTATGAGCAGATTTCTTAACATTAGAAAGACCATTTCAAATTTTATTAAACATATATTTTTATAATTCATTTATTACAATACATCAACAAAAAAAAATTTAAGACACAATAATATTTTGTGTATTAATCTATATAAATAAGTAGCCAAATATATATTATTAAAAATATTTATAATCTATCTACATCGACACTTTTTTGTAGAATCGCAATATCCACCAGGTCTGTTTTTCAATTTACATTTGAGATAGCAGGGTGCATCGTTAAGTTGAACATTTGCTACGTTGACGGAACCAAGGACCTCGCAGGTTAATCTCTTTACTCGAATGTGGTCTAAAACAAATGATCAATATGTTTTTAATAAAATTTAAACAAGAATAAAATTTAATTTTAATATCGTGTGAAGAAGACAAAATTAATAAATGATTGCTTAAAGAACAGAGATTGACAATTTCAATATTGTAACAATCTGTATTTCTTAATTAAAGTATTGGTAATTAAAAAAATTAAAAGTTGTATCCATTTATTCCGTAATATGGTAACCTATTTACCGTAAATTATTCAATGCATTACATTCGGATAACAAAATAGCATATACTCAATATTTAGTTCCACAAAGGAGTAAGAAAATTACAAGTAAAATTTATTACATTCTTATTTTAATATATCATTTAACTAAAATTTGAATTTCAAAGTAACTAAATTAATTTAAAATTTGAATATTATTTTACAAGAAAAGGTTTATGATCAAAATAAAAAAAGCAGGATACATGTTTATAAGATTAAAATGCTTTTTTGTAATTAAAGCTAGTTTAAATATTCGATGGATAATTATAAGTTCTGTGTACTTACGTTATAATAATACAATAATGGAGAGATCGAAATATCAAAATATGTAAAGTGATTTAAAAGTTTTTAAAATGTGGAACTTTATTGCATAATATATGAAATATTTATTGGTATAATCCAAAATGATTTGAACAAAATTAAGAAGTGTAACTTTATGACAGAATTTAATAAATATGTCGTGGAAGAACTACACATTTATACAAAAATCGTTGCAAAGACGAAAAAAAAAAAGAAATAACCGTAAGTTGGGTATACGTCCGATATGATAACGTAATAATATACGATGAAGTAAAAGTGTATCTACAAACAAACTGTTAACTAAACGCAACAAAAAAAATATAGGACTATTTTTTGTTTTAAAGTGTAATATATTATATACAAAACGAAAAAAAAAAATATTGCTATTATTCATCTTACCATCACTTATATCTTCGTCTACTAAAGGGGCGGCGATTACAGTGGCAATTAAAATGCCAATCAGCACAACGACTCTGACGGATTTCATGCTGCTTGTATTTGTTCAATGTCAAAAATTATATGTTTTTGAAATTAAATCTTTTTCTCGGTTTATATAGTTAATTTTATGCCTTATCTTGGGTTTTTCTAAAAGATAAATTATTATTATTATTAACGCCGTAATTTTTGAGTTTTATGAAAAATAATAATTATAACTAGTAAAATTTATAGTATGTAACTAAACATATAATATTATAGGTGTAAATAATGTGTTAAATTGTAACCAAATAACCACCAACTGAACACCAACTTTTAGAGTTATTGATTGAACTTAACATACAACCACAAACATACAAAAACAAAAGATAGAACCACGTACGTTGACCTATATCATGATCAGTAGGAAAATGACTATCTATCTATATAAAGGACTATGATGACAAGTCACACTGTTTGTCCAGTAAACTAAGGACGCCATCTAGGAAAAAACTATTAACCACCACCATTTGACATTTTAATCATATTTTGTTCTTCAACCGATTCGTTTAATTAATAATACTGTATTAATTGCATATTAATATCATTAATAATTAATTTTAATAATATTTGTAAGGTAAAATTTAATACAAAATAATTTTAAGCCTTATGTTAGTTAAGATTTAAAATACTAACGCCATCTGAACAAAGAAATCTAAACTAATGACATTTCAACCTATGAGTCAATCCTATTTTGTTTTTGAAACGATACGTTTAATAATTAATAATACAAAAAATATTAATACATTATCAATATAATTAATACATTCGTCCCTACCATTTCCAACTATCCAATGTGAAAAGTAGTACTTTTCAGGAGAGCAAGATAACTCTTTTTTAGAGAATCCTAAATCAGCACTTTGACAAATGGAAATTTTCTTATATTCTTTATATTTAATATTTAATCCTTGTTATATTAAAATAATTTTAATGTTCTTACAAAGTTTATTACAAATCATTTAATTAAAAATTAAAGTTGTAGGATAAAATGAGAATAGAAACTTAAAAAACATGACATGACCCTCAGTTGTTGTAAAATAATGCTAAATAAAAAGTTTTAAATTTTGAATTAAACGTTATCGTTGTCTTCAGTTGCCACAATTTCTGAAAGACAATCTTTAGTACTACTAGATGTTGGTAAAGAGTGGTAATATTAGTGGTATGGTTTAGGTAATAAGTTTTGTTCACATACACGTTTATACTATTTTCTTTGCCTCTTTTTTGTTTGGTTTCAAGAGATAAAATTTTTCCATCAATTCTAGTCTTCATAAAAATTTATTTTCATTTTACTGATGCTGGTACCATATACCATCACTATGTATAAAATTAGTATTTTCGTTACTTCTTTGCTCTTCATCTTTTACGTCATTTTCTTTTTCATATTGATTTTACTTGTTCTTTGGTTTTATTTTAGTTTCTAGTGCAAGTTTAGTTTAGTTTCAGTCGTTATGAAGTAGGTATGTCATTTCAAACGGACATGGCTTAGTGCGTGCAAGTCTTTTTTGTGTCAGTCCTTCAAGGGTGTACCTATGCAGGGGAATTTTTTAAGTTAGATTCAGTTAGTTAACAACATATTGACACATGGCAGAAAAAGCAAAGTTTTTCTGTTGTCCTCCGCAATTGTCGGCGTTAACATCATAGGCGTTCTGAGATATTTTTATGTGTTTTTAAATTAAGTTAAAATATATTTTGTTCAAATTTTTGATTTTTTTTTTACTATTTATTGCGTTATTATTTTTTTATTTGTATAGAGTCTAGAAAATCTCCCTTCTTCCTGTTGGCTTCACTTTTTAGGATCTTGGCTTTCTCAAAATCTAATTTATGTTTTTTTTTTCGTTATCATATTTTGTGAGGGCGGTTGAATTTTTTTGTCATATTTGTGGGAACGTATTCTTGAGTTATGTATATAGCAATGTGTATTAATGTTCATGTGTATTTTATTGTGTCAGAATTGTGTTTTGCTTCGATTTTAGTGAACTGGCCAATGTTATTGGTGTTTTTTTTTTTCAAAAATGCTCACATGATCTTACTTCAGTAATAATACCAGGGTGTTACAAAAAGATACGTCATAAATTAAATCTCGCATTCCGGGGACAAAAATAAATCGATTAAATTCAACTTATCTTTGTACAAAAGTGTACACAAAAAAAGTTACAGCCCTTTGAAGTTACAAAATAAAAATAAATTTTTACATTATCTCCTCAAATACTTGATATTTTGTGATAAAAATAGACATGTTACTTTCTTGTTCTGAAAGAATTTTTCATAAAAAAGAAACAACAAAATCTAAGCGCACAGAAAAATTTTAAGTAGGGCTTGCAGCTCTAAATCCCCCCAAACTTTTGAATACGTTCAAATCAAATTAATTTTGTGGCATCATTAGTTTAACACATTCTTTTTAAAACATTTGTGCTTCCTATCACTAAAAAAAAACACTTTTTATTGAGATACGGCCCTTTTCATTCACCTTTAAAAAATTCATAAATTCATAAAACTACATAAATGGCTTAACTGAAATAACAAGTACAAAAAACGTCTGTAACCTCTATAAATATGATATTACAATAAATGTGCAAAATCACCCACATTTTCTTTAATACACATTTGATATCGTTTTGATAAGGAATACCAAATGCGCTGAAAAATCATATTTTTGAGACGAAATTGATTTGCAGCTTAAATTATTCTAACCCTCAATTGGTGTTCATCCTCTATTGGTACAGAATACACTTTCTCTTTCATAAACCCCCAAAAGCAAAAGTCCATGGGGTTAAGACCTGGACTTCTGGGTGGCCAAGAAATAGGTGCGTCACTACCCCTTCCAATCCACTGACCAGGATACTGCCTGCAAAGGTATTGCCTGACTTCATTACTGTAATGCGGTGAAGCGCCATCTTGTAGAAACCACCTATTTTGTTTTATTGCAATATTCACTTTTTCCAAATACTCTTGTAATCGTTTGTCAATAACTGAAAATAATCAACCTCGGTCGGTAAGTAAAATATTCATAATAAAATTAACATTTCAAGTATTTTCCATTAACAATCAATCGCAAAATCTAATTCTTTTTAAATAATCTTCAACCAATAGCTCTTGAATCGTTGTTAAGTGATAAAGTTTAAGCAGCCGATCCTTCAAACGACTCCAAACCCTTACGTGTGGAACATTTAGTTGAGCAGCTATTACCGCCTATTAATATTTATATTATAAATATAGTTCAATCCGCCAAGGAGGCTCGATCAGCCCATTGTTATTTAATATGGTAATGAATCAAATAATTCACGAAGTAAGAAAATGACACGGATACCACATGGGAGCGCATAAAATCACGATACTATGCTATTCCAATGATGCAGTACCATTGATTATAAACCACTACTAATATAGGTGGTGGTTTGTAATCAATGGCAGTACTAATCGCTGATAACGAAGATGACCTATAAAGGCAGCTTCACACCTTCAATATCACAGCAAACAAACTTAATATGAGAATATCAGTAGAAAAAATTAAACGTATAGTAATCAGTAAAGAGCCGCGCAGATACAAACTAGAAATAAACGGCAAAATTGTAGAACAAGTAATGAAATTCAATAACCTAGAAGTAGACATTACTACTTACACGGATATAAGAACAGAGAACAAAATTCAAAATATTAACAGGTGGATAAACACAAGAAAAAAAAACTGGAACGAACATGTTTACCTATGGCAAGTAATTCTATTTGCACAAAGAAGAAGAAGAAGACGAAGAAGAAGAAGAAGAAGAGGAAGAAGCTATTACCCTTGTAATTATTTCAGGAACTTCTTCAATGATTTCTAAAATGTCTTCATCAGTTGCTTCCATTATTGGACGACCACTATTGCCAGCAATTGTACCCATTTTCCGTAAACGATGATTATTGGTCAGAAATAATCGTCTATCAGGTGTATTTCGATTGGGTATTTTACTGCATAACGTCTTGTGTCTGCTGCACTATTTCCTTGACATTTACCTACGATATTCCCGATAGTTTATTGAAATCATAATTTAATCTGACTCAACTTACCCAAAGGTAAATGCATATCTGCCATTTCCTGAAATGTGTAGGCCATCGTAATATAAACATTTTTAATATAAATTTTATTCACACAATAACTGATAGCTTCAAATTATTGACTATTATTGATGGAACTGTTTGTAATTATTGTATACGTAGAAACTAATTTTAATTTTATGGTTAACTAGGAAACAACTAGTTTTTTGAAAAAGTGATAGGAGGCAAAACAGTTTAAAAAAAACGGGTGTGGCAGTCCAGTGGGACAAAGGAGTTGAATGCAAAAACATTTTTTACACATACTCTACAGTAAAACTCATTTTATTTTGTTATTAATATAAAAATTACCAATACAATAAATACAATGGAACATAATTCAATATAATAATACAATATAAATTAAAATGCAATATTCAAAGTATTTAAAACTACCAATATATATAACATACATTACGAAGATAAAAATAAAAAACTTACATCGGTCAAACTGGTAGAAACTTTAACAAACGAATAGCAAAACATAAAAGGGCTTTTAATAATATAAAAACAGATTTCACATACGCACTTCACTTTCTAGATCACAATCATTCTTTTCACGACGAATTTAAAATTCTTCACATTCAAAATAAAGGCCTTAAGCTATCCTTGTTAGAATCTATGGAAATCAACAAATTAAAAAACACAGATATAATTCTGAATGACCAACTCGAGACAAACAGTTCTCCCCTCCTCAACCTATATTATTAGAGACTATAAAGTGTAAACGCATGACAAAATAGATCACTTGAGAAGGGTAATCGGCCGAAACAGCTGTAGTGATAAGAGTTAAAATAAGTTTTTGTGGAAGTTTGAAAACAAAGTTTTCAGTGTTTTATTGTAACAATATTATATATATATATATATATATATATATATATATATATATATATATATATAGAAAATTTTTATTTTCGAGAGAGGAAGATAGAGAAAATATATCTTCTGCCTCTCTCTTACTCATTAT